GGGAGACGAGGAAGACGATTGGATTGACGATGAAGAGGCCGAGGAAGACGCGGGCGTGTCCATCGGGCAGAGGGTGAGAGCGAGGAGGTTGGCCGCACAGGCAACGAGGACGTTGCCTGGAGGAGGGGGGTAGATGCGGTAGTTGGCGGTAGCGCTTTGGCGCGGGATTCGGCCGCTTTGGTCCATTGTAGCCAGTAGCTTAGTCATCATCCTTCTCTTCTCCGCATTCCACGCCCGATTCCCTGTCGGACCGTGCGAGCTCATCTAGACGACTAGCCCAGCATCAGTAGTACAGTTTCTTGTCCAGATTCCGTTGAGAACTTGGAGTACCTTGGAGTACAACCCCCGCCTGCAGGGTATCACTTGTTCGGATGATTGCCATATTTTTCATCTCCAATAGAACCCACGCACCATAACCGACAAGCGGACCATTTTCTTTCGCGAGGAAAGGTTCCAAGGAGGTGGTATTGTGGTGCGCAAGTTCTCTTACTTCACTGCTCAATTTTGGACCCTCCACCGAAACTTGTTCAAACTTGTGTACGGTTGACTCTCAAGGACGTGGGAAATTCACTCAAGGCCTTAAGCGCGCCCTTGACCCAAGGGCTTGGCCTTGGCCAAGGCCTTGAATGTTTCCAAACCTCCACCCAAGGCCTTGAGGACGAACACTGCCAGTGCCCACCCTGGCAGCGATTTCCACCTCGTTTTACATAGTGACAGTAACGACTGACTTGGAGATTTTAACCCCGTGGTCCGATGCATACGCCTCAACGTCTTGGCCCAGCGGCCGCATTTTCATCGTCCTGTCCTGCCGATCGCGACCTTGCGACGGAGGATCCGAATGGGACTGGGAGAAGGGTGAGGTCAGTCATTTACATCGTAAGGGCTTGGCGCGAATTAACTGCTAAGACCTCACCATGGAGGCCAGATGCACGGAGGGAAAGTTCTCGTTCATGGCGCGGAGGGTGGTTCTAGAGTTCAAACTGAACGCAGGGCATTAGTCGGCGAGTCTTTGGAGATGCTGCTGCTCACCTTGCGAGGAGGGAGTTCGAATATACTTTGGGTGAGAGGTCGGTTATCAGTGGCAACTGAAGGATAGATAGCCCTGGGCTCACGTCGCGAGACGACAACGAAGACCGCAGCCCAGACGACTGAGCACAGTTCGGGTCGGTCAGCGCCTCGTCAACCAACAAGGAAGGACGCACGGTTCGTCTTCATGGTGAGGAACTACAAGGACGGAGTTAACATCTTCCAAACGAGATGAAATAATGGTTCGTACACAAATAAGCGTCGCGATGCTGGCCACACTAGGCGCACTCCGGAGTTAACGGGCTGAGCACACGGAGGGGGATTTTAGCACCAACCTCGTCAGTAATCCGGTCTCTGATAAATGAATGTCAGTTGAAGAAATTCGCCTGACCGCCAGTGTTCGACGCACCCACGGCCCATAGCGTAAGGCGGTCTACGAGGGGCACCGATCTGCGAACGAGAAAGTTGAAGCAGGTGTAAGTTGAATCAAGTGGGAGGATGGACATACCTTGGTTGTATCTCAGTGCGCTTACCCCTGAGGTTGACCACCTAGAAACACGGGATGTTAACGAAAGCAAGACGGAGGTGGATGGTACAGACGCACCAATGTCGTGGTAATCAACAAATCGTTAGCGACTCCGATGCTCACTGCGGTCGTGATGAGCCACCCGAACTGCGCCTCGAAGATCTGCAGGGAAGTCATCCGCAACGCGGTCACGAACACCGCAGTGCCTATGAGCAGTCGCAGGAACGAGAGAAGGTAGGCAATGCTGGGGATGATACGGCTCTGGGACAAGGTGTAAATTCGGAAGGAGAAAAATCCTTGCACTGAGGGAATGATCGTGAGTGCGTTCCCAGGAAGCCATGGGCAAGAGCAGGTGCGTACCGAATGCCGAGATGATCCCGGAAAAGAATATGGACGTGTCGAAGGATTTTGGAGGAACGGGGAGCGGGGTGCCGAAGCTTGTTATCGTCCAGGAGTAGAGAGCATGTCCTGGAGTACGGTGAACGATTATCTTCACAAAAGTATAGAGTCGGCTTGCGAGACTACCTATGCAGATCGTTTGCGCAAGCTCGCATACCCTGGAGGCAATTAGCTATGGTCGGCCTGGCAGAGGTCTAGTGTACCAGATGAAGACAATCTAAGTGCGGTCAGCAAAATATTTTGGAAGTAGTATGATCGGACGCACCAATCTCTTGATATTGGGACTATCGCTGGGGAACCGCTTGTAGTACATGTAGGTTTGTCCATTTACCTAGAGCAGAATGGTAAAGCAATTGGAATGCACCTGGAAGCAATGCGTACCACCCCATAGAGCACATATGATACTAAAACTCCGATCTGGAATGCGCCTGGGAGCAATTCTGAAGTCAGCAAGTTCGGAATGCGGCGAGGTAACGCTGCAGGCGCACCAAGAGTACTGGCGGGATCGAACGCGGGCGCAGACATTGAGGGCGCTGCCGTCTAGATGAGTGAGGATATATATGAGACAACGGCGTTCACTTCAGACGACGTCGCACCTTGTAGACTCGGACTTTGCTGACAACGGACAGTTAAAGATCAACATCTAACGGTAAGGGCGCGCTCGTAATAGCCAACAATCTCCGCCTGTGGAACCTTGTGATGCAACCAGGCGACGAGAAAACCTGGAGACAACTCCACTGGTAAGTTGGGCCGAATACACTGCTTCGAGGATGTATCCGAAATCGTTGGAATCGCACAACGTCCTCACCGGAGGTGGCGATTCTTCACCACGAGAAGGACGCAGAAATAGACAGATTCGGACAGGCTAATTGCGAGACTTTTGGCTTGCCTCCAGTGCAAGGAATACGCATGAACCTACTTTGATCTAGATATGGAATGAGTGATTGACCCACATCCGAACACTGTTTGCCGCTTGGCGCTGCGTTCAGAGAGATAGAGAACGGCCCCAGAGACTCCGCCGAGGATGTCAAGTCAACGATCCGAGGAGGCCTGTGGAATCCGTGGCCACCGTCAATATATAACTGGAGAGAAATCGAGTGAGAGCAAGTGACGAAGCAATATTTTTCCGAATTCCCACGGTTGCATCGGGTTCGAATGTGCGATAGAGACGGGTGATGGCTCGCGACCAACCGCAGAATACGGACATAGCATCGGACAAAGTGGGTCGTGCTCGATAGGTCCTGGGCTACAGCGGGGTCCGCAGTGCGACAGAAACGACTTCTGAACTGCTCGGGCTGTGTATGGCGAGAACCGGCGTAAGGGCCCGGGATTGAGAGGACTTAGCCTGCTGTCCCGACTCCCAACCAAGCAGCAGTCCAACTGAGGACAGCGCGGCCGCTAAATCTTGCGCATTCTAAAGCCAAAGCCGCCGCGGGTGCCGCTGTCATACAGGGACACGATCGCGGTCTATTGCGGACCTGTTGTGGTGTTGATTGTATACTTCTATACGCTCGCCGCTCGCTGCTCCGGTGTCATTCTGCACCTTCTATCGTACGTTGCGACCATCTGTCCCCAAACCCAAAACACACAATGACGCTGCGAAATCAGCGGGGGACATGTACAGTGGACCAGGACAACACCCGCAGCGACTTGAGATTGAATAGGCCGTCGGTAAAATCCGTTTGGCTGAGAAAGCCCCAACAGCGATGGACGACGCAATCCGCGAGGAATATACAGTGAGCGTTTCAGGGATGGAGTGACCGGGTAATGCGACGTGATGAGGCAATGGGATGCGTATGTAGGTAGGGACACGCCGGAGCCGGGAGAATCCGACGTCCACCTAGCACGTCGCCGATACGATGGTATAACCTGGAGCCTTGCCAGAGGTGAACGATGCGATTGAGACGGTGGATGCGAGTGAAGCGGTGGTCGACATATGTGCGTGAGGAGTGGGGCCAGTGCCGGGGAGTATTATCCGCGAGTCGCGCAAGGGCGTGCGAGGGAGAAGAACGTGGGGCGCGTGCATCGCGGGCTGGTACCTCGCAAAGAAACGCCGGATACATACGTCGCGGCTTTGGAGACAGTACATCTCCTGTGCAAGTATGCGGACGGGGAGGATAATTTTCCCGGGTGCCGAGGATGGTAGAGTCATAAACGAGAGTCAGCGAGGGCTAGAGTAGAGCTGGTGCGGCGCGACCGCGTTCAGAGGGAGGGGTGCCTGCGTCATCTGCCGTGCAAGTATGCGGACCGCTGGGAGGAAGCTGTCCAAAACGTCGAGGATGGTGGCGTTATCGACGAGAGACGCCGAGGGATGGAAGATATTTTGGGGGAAACATGGCGAGTAGTGCTGGGACCGCTTTCGGAGGCAGGGGATGCCTGTGCCATTACAACTAGTGGAACGGGCTATGGTGGCTCTTGAGGCTTGAAGCTTGACACTTGGAGCGTCGGCCGCCCGAGAATTATGTCGGAGAGCATCCAACGGTACAGTCCGGCGAAATACCCCTTCATAGAGGTAACGAAACTTATCACAGCGAAGGTCGTCCCTAGAGACTGTCCACAACGGACAAGTCGGCGGTGCACTGAGTACAGCGGCACGAGAGAGTCTGAGGGACAACTGGAAAGAATGCTTGAGTAAAACACAGGTGGACAGAAGTACATTGTCGTGGCCGGTCGTCTCCGAGATGTGTTTCATGGAAGAGTCGGAGTTTGGTCGGAGTGGCAAAGGTGCAAGAGGAAAGTTTTAAGTTGTGACCTGTCGTAACGGCCGACGCTCGGCCGAAGCTCAGCCGAAAGCGTTCTGGGTCGGCAGTTCAAGTTGAGTTCATCCTTTCAATCATCGGTAGCAAAAGTATCAGGCCAGGGCTTATCCCGCAGCGTCCTCACCATGGCTAGGGATAACTGATAATCGCTGTTGAGCATTGGACCTTGGTTGAGCATTAAGTTACAATTACTGAACCGTGGGAAGCCAAAGTTCGGGGTCGATGCTGCTCCCTGCATTCTCATTGTGATTGAAGGATGACAGCAGTAAGAACGAGAAAGGACTCTCAAGGCCTTTGTGGATCACGGCGGTCACCTCAATTCAATTATGTACAGCAGAGGAAGTTGTGTTGAGGGGATGGAGGTTCGAATCCTTCCGAAGGCACTAAGGGAAGTAGACGATTGAATTTTTGAGTTTCTTGGTGGGCTGTTGCCACATGAGCTAAGTAGATTTTTAGAGGAGGACAGCATGACCTTTTGGTTGTGTTTCGGTCGTTGAACCCTCAGATGCGATTGCGCTGGTCTTGCAAGATAAGTATTTCGGCTCGCTCCTTTGGAGAAAACGGTTCCCGGCAGGTCAAATCCGGCCTTCCATTAGCAGGATGTTGATTACTAGAGGAACTTCATATTCCTTTCATCCCCGACGAGCTGCCGATTTTTTGCTTGTTCATCTCGGCGATCTGAGATTTTTCACGTTTTTAATGATTTTCATGGCTGTGGTTGCTTGAGTGGCCTCCGAGAACTCGACATGCACAACCCTGAATAAATCCCACCGCAAAGTCAATCGGCGGTTCAGCCGAATGCGGCAGAAAGCTGAGAGTCTCCGATTGGTTCGAGAAATGATGAAGCTCTCGGCAAACCTACACAATCAGCATGTCTTTGCCGCAAGCCAACTACGATCCACGACGGGTCTGCCTGAACCCCTTCCCCGAGGTCGATTTTGGCAAGCACCGCCGCACCGTCGGCGTATACCTCGCAGGCGGCCTCGTATGTCGCCTCAAACGCGTCCGTTCTGCCCTCATCTATGGAACTTAATCGCGCGTCCTAGTTTGCCCTCGCGACCTGGCTCTTCCTCGACGCATGCATCCTCTCCGCGCACGCAAAGGCACCCTGGGGGCAGCCTGACACCCCCGTGCCTGTGCATGTCACCTTCGTCGACTGGGTGCCCGGCATCTGTTCCCTTCTGGGCTTCCTCGTCATCAACCTCATCGACAAGGACCGCATCCGCGGGGAGGATGGCTTCGGCGACGCGCGCGCGGTGTGGCGCGCACGTCTCTTCTTGTTCATTGGGTTTGCCATGATGGCGGGCGGGTTGGCCGGCAGCATCGTGCGTCTCGTCTTTCTCCGTGTCTCTCTGTTGCTAATTGCGACTTGTGCAGACGGTGCTTGTGCTGAAATACGTCATCCCCGATCATGCGGCGCAGTTCAAGTACTACGGTTACGCGAACGTCTCCCAAAATGTCGCGCTGATGCTGTCGATCGTCGTTCTCTGGATGGCGCAGAACTCAAGCAACGAATACGAGTACAATCTCACCCTCTAACTGTCGATTTTGTATACCAACCGGGAAGGATTTAAGACTATACTTATTTATCTGTCGTCAATGGCTATCTGCTGGATCTTCCGAGACGGCCAGCGCCGAGAACTGGACCGACCTTGCATTCCAATCCGATCCAGCGACATGCTGATATTCCACACAGACCCAGAGCTTCGCAGGGATAACAAGACAAAAAGGGCGCTCTACCTGCCTGCGCCGGCTCCTTTTAGCTTTATGAACACCTCAGCACCACCCAACGCCCACTCCGATCCCCCTTCGCTCCAGCTACCCCGTTCTGAGCGTATACAAGAAGCGGACCCCAAAGTCGCCCGCTACTGTGTGCATACAAAGCACCTCGACGCCGAGTCGAGCACCATCTCCCGCAATCCCTCATATACTGTATATCGACGACAAGTGCGTCTGCGTGAGGAACAGGCGAAGTCCTTCCGCCTTCCTGCGGATGTCGAGGTGCGAAGGTGGCCCGACGGCCGCGGGAAACAGACCAGCACCTCGACCCTTCGAGCGAGCGTCATTCCTCGCCATCCAATTGCCGGTGCGAAGGAGGCTCGCGCTGATACCGAGATTTGGACTCAAAATAATCATAACAACGTGTCAGTCTGACGCCGACGTGAGGGGCGTAGCGGCGTCGAGATCTGTGTAGGGGGCTGGGCGCTGAGGACTCGAAAGGTCGACAGTCCCAGCCTTCCGAGGTTGGGTTGGTTGGAGGAGCGGGAGGGATTGAAACCACCTCCGGCGGGCGCGATTTCGGAAGAGCGAATGGTGCAGGGCAGGGCGTGAACGGGGAGCTTCGGAGCGCGTTGGATGTCAGGTCTGCGTTCTATGTGCGTCTTGGACTTCACAGTTGAGATCTTGAGATCCTATCAATAACAAGGCGAATGTGGCGTCCTTGTGTGGGAATCCTCCGATGCCTTTGTTGCAGCTATTGTACATTCCACCTTATTATGTGCGTCGCTTTCCTCACCTCTTGTCGTCTTCCCTCTCACATCGCCCCTCCAGGCTCAACCACAAGATTCCCGTTCACGGCCCACCAGGCAGCGAAGCATATCGATAGTCCACATTCGTCCACGTCACATTGAAGATCCGCTATGCAGTCAGTTCTCATTCTGTGTTGTTCGCCGTTTCCTGAATCGTTCCAAAGGCTGGAAAGGGTGGATACCATTGCCCTGGCGGCCGCGGAAGTAATTCATCGAGCTGCACTTCAAGAGAATAAGGATGTTGAAGTGTTCAAGAAGGAATTGGTGGACAAGTTACAGTTGATTGGCGAGGAGAATGTGTTTGCGATGGGAGCGCAGCAGAAAGGATTCTCTCGGGCCACGACAGAGGAGTATGCGGAGGAGCATGAGGAGAATATGTTTGCGATGGGAGCGCAGCAGCAAGGATTCTCTCGGGCCACGACAGAGGAGTATGCGGAGGAGCTGACAATGCCCTTTTCGCATGTGAGATGGGACCCTGTGCCGGCGGCCCAGGCTAGCGAGGGAAGTAGGAAGAGGAAGCGAGGAGTTGAAGAATTGCCAGGTGTTCAACCCGAAGTATCCGATCGCAGGATAACGCGTTCCGGGAGCGCGAGATGGCAAAAGGGAGACATGACTCACCCGCTGTTCGCTTTAAACGAGGAGTACCTGGCGTCCCAGGGACCTCAACCGAGAGCGTTCGAACGGAATGGTGGGTAATCACCGTAATCAGGTCGTCGACCAAACCATCCAGTACTCACTCATCTGCCAGATCGCTCGATCCAAAGCGGAGGGCTTACTCGGACTATGTCTACTCGGAGCATGACCATGGCGAGCCACTCCAAAGGGACCCCTGTCCAGCCAGGCGCCGGTCTCAAACAGCGGGTTATCAAAGAGATATCCAGTGGCAGCAGAGCTTGTTTGCTCACGGGCCATCTCGTTCGCGCGCCGGAAACGGCGGAAAGGCCGTCGAAACGATCCACAAGCGCAGGCCAGACTGTTTTTGAGAACCAAGCATCTGGGAGCACCAGCGTGGAGCTACTGGATTGTCCCCACCCAGGATGTTGGTCCCAGTTCAGGACAGAGCAGACGCGGAAACGGCACCTCCGAGAGCGTCACGGATCTTCCCCGCCGGTTTATTGTGCCAATATCGATGCGGGATGCCGCTACACTAAGGCATTCGCCCGTCCATCGACTTGCGCACGGCACATGCGCAAGAGCTGCAAGGTTGAGCGGTCGAGGAGGTTGAAGTGATGTCCGTGATGTAATCAAGTCGAAACTCCCACGGTTGGCTTTCTCAACACCGGGAGTTTTCAGGGCTCAAGTACTTCTCAACCCGTATGTGTGTAGCTATCATTCAGTAGAATTGATCGCCATTATAACGCGCCACACGTATTTGATTTTGCTGCTCGGCTGATCGGAGTTGGACTTGAGTTCGATATCCGACACAACACCGTGGCGTTCTCGTTTTCTTTACGGAAATCACAACCACCCTGTTCTTCTTCTGACTGTCATTGACTACTTGTACCCTCCTGATGACTCGTTGAGGACCAGATTGCTCGACCTGGATATTGACTCGCCTTGCAATAGTGTTGTCCCTGAATAATCAAAGCCTGTTGTCCGCCAGAGTCACCGCACTCAGTGATGTGCTGTTCTGTGGCACAAGGACCCTGAGCGCTGTTTCATTACTTGGGGACCCGCCACCCGCCGGTCCTATAAATGCTGCTGGGGTGCCCGCCATTTTCCTATCCACATTCTCCTTGCCTCACCATGAGCTTACCTACTTCACCAATTGACATGGAGTGCGTCAATGATTAATGTCCTGTTCGATGCTTTCTGACCGCGGTTTAGCGTCGACTGCAATGACACGGTTGACAACTCAAATCCAAATGTCCAACCATCCGCGGCGAGCAAGGATAAGTCGCTTACTGACGCCGACACCGACACCGTCGGTGCGGTGGCGCTGAACGACGATGGGAACGAGACGGAACCTGAAGATAATGCACCACCGACGGCGGTGGAGACCCAGAATCTGAACGGCAAAGAGCAGGAGCCGTCGACGCAGGGGTCAACGAAGAAGAGGAAGAAGCCGCCTACACGAGAGAAGGCCTTCCATCCGGATTATCCCAAGACGTTAGTGGACATACCCTGGGACGTAAAGGAAGAAATCTTTAAAGCAAGGAACAGGAGACATAACACGATATAATTGTACTTCGACTCGGCGCTGTATGACCGTCCTAAATCTATTGTGTTTTTCAACACCCTGTCTCAACCACACGGATTAATCCGTTGACTGTTCTGTCTGCATCTTTGTTCGATTTTGATCTTCAGCCCGATATTTCACGTTTTCAACCAAAAGTTGAACCACCCGGCCACGGTCCTTCTCGGCATCGCGGCAACGCTCACTCATCTCAGACGTTCTCTTGTAATCTTGGTGGAAGGTGCTAGAATTCAGCGGCGTTGTGATCATAATGGAACCACCATTATAATGGCGCACAATAAGAAGAGCAGCTCGAGAACAAAGGGAATATTTCAGAATGAATTGAACTGAATACAATCAGTTCGTCCTTGTTGTCCCAGCGCCCACAGCGTGGCCACCTGTGGGTATGAAGAGCACAGGGACGTATAAAAGGGGACTAATTGAGGCTGTAAATCATCGAACGAAGCCAGCCAAAAGCCAGTACCCAGATTCAACCCTACTCAACTCGAGGAATGTCGAATGCAAATGTCGCGCACACTGCGTACGTCCCCCCTCTGGCTTACTTACCGAGGCGCCTGCTGACCGTATCTCAGGATGAATGATAATGAAGGCACTCCGCTGCATTTAGTTTGGGCCGCGGGGACGGACGTGGACGAAGTGGTGGACAGTGTGGGGAATG